GAGAGTGTATGTGTTTTGCTAAAATCGAGAGATAAACACCTTACCGGTGTCCATGAATTATGTGAGCTAATAGTCAAAAGGTGTAATGAGTATACGACATCATACTACTTGTAGAATCTCGTCTCCAATATAGTCGACTTTTGCCAACAAATTGAGACTTAGTGTACATGAAGTCAAATAGTCAAATCCCGATGCACAAGGGATGCAACATTATGTATAAGAAAATCCTCACGGAGTGTCATGGCTAGAAGATTGGGGAGTTCAAGGCTGCAACATCCAAACCAAGGGATCACACGCAGGAAGCCCTCATCTATACAAACAAGAACATGACGTCACCAATCTCGTTTATTCGGGAGAGGAATAGCCAATCCAGCCTAGCTAACAAAAGGCACCCACATTATCAATGGCCAAGACAAACTCTCAAACTTCCTATACTTGTGCCATCAAAAACGAATTCAAGATAAAAAAAAAGACAAGCATATATGGGGGCATAACAAAGCCAAGTGAGTCCCACAAAAAAAAAAAAAAAAGTGGGAGTTACAAACTAGGTGCCCCCTGGTTAGCATTTGAAGTATAAACCGCCTGCACCAAGTCAAGGTCTTTACCGATTAGTCTCAAGATACAACAAAAAAGACCTCAAGCAAGAACTTCCATGATAATAAAGCCTTTTTGGCCAAAATCACTTCATCCCGGGTACACAACATTTTGAGAACAAGTCAGAAGCCGAAACTCCACTAGGATGAACATTTAGAGGTCAAACAAGAATCTTGACAAATCCATAACCAAATTGCATTGGCAAAAACGTCAACCCTCGACTCGTGAGACCAGAATTTCAAAGACTTGGGGGCAAAACCAGCTGAAAATACATTTCTAGAAAAATGCCCAAATCCACCAGTATTTTCGAACAAGTCTTCGTCAACTAAAAAGATCCGGATAATTGTGGTTCTTACCCCATCAAGTCAATCACATCCTTTGGGGGCAAAGCCGAAATCCCTTTACGAGAAGCCTTATATGGATATGGTCAAGATTTGACCTATCTGTCACCCATCTGAATAAACTACACTTCAAGAACAAGAAGACTCCTACCATCTAAGTCATATCAGAAAAAAGCCTCTTTAATGGGAGAAAAAATGTATGCGACGAAGCCATATGGAGGTCTCCTAAATCAATCACACCAAGGTCTTCCATATTGAGAATCTTCACAAGGAACACAGTTGGCAATCAGCATAAAAGGAGACATCTCAAGGTGACTTGAATCTTAATGGTAGCTTATGTGTCGTGCACTCAAATCAACTATAGGAATGAGTGATGAGCAAAATCAAAAGTGGGAGTGAAAGCGAGCAAAATCAAAAGTAAGAGTACAACTAGGGATTAATGATATTCTCATGGCTTGGCTTACACTTCTCTCACTGGAATTTTTTTCTTAGCAACATGGCAATACCACTCAAAAATTGTCTTTATCCATTTTACACACACTTCTCGAAAATAAAGTCTTGATATGGCTTTCCGTTTGACTTCTCTGATAAAAGTTTTCAAACATTTTTACATTCTTCTTAAGTCAAGATTGATAAAGTCAGTCTTTGTTCCGGGGAATAGGAAGTGAGTAACAGATCTTCAGGGGAAAAAATGACACTCCATGGAAGATGGGGTAGCCTGAGTACCCATGAATCAGATGAATCAACTTTTCACTCACAAATTGATGAAGAAATCTAAGGGAGTTTGAAAACATTCAGATATCATTAAGCAAACTAGCCAACTGATTATCCTACAATCCTTCAACTACACCGTCAAAAGAAGGAGGTCCTAATATTACACACGAACTGAAAAATACACGACTCTTAATCATGTGGGCCCAAGCTTGGCCAGCAAGAAGGATGAAGCAGTACACATCCTCAGCTCACCCCACAAAGAATATCTCGAGACAACAAGCCAAAAGTCACTCCAAACGCTGAGGATCAAGTTGACGAAAAGGAAATGGCAGTTCTTAGTGGATGAGCTATTTAAAGGAACCCCGAGTAAAAACGAAACAACAAATAGATAAACAAACAAACACGATACAAACAAAAGAACATATTTTCATAGCAATATGAAATGCATCATATATATTTTTCACTTAACATTCACGATATCATTTGCTTGACAAATCACACAATCATTGTCAAAATCATTTCGATACTCACTACATGACATCAGTATACATCAAAGTGACTTGATATGCATCACAAACATTTCCTAAATTTCTAAAATATTCGTATAAAATCATGTAAAAACTTTTCATGCGAAATACCACTACGTACTTACATTATTTCTCATTGTTTGGTTTGATTTCCATCACAAACAATTTGAGTACATCATCATTTACAAAATGATTAGCTTGATCTTATCCTTGTCATTTTTCTCATTGTTGTATTTGATTTCTATCATAGACAATTTGAGTACATCGTCCTTACAAAATTGTTAGCTTCATCTTTATCGTTGACATCATCCTCATTGTTCGAATTGATTTATATCACAAACAATTTGATCACATATCTTTTACAAAATCGTTTGCTTGATATTTATCGCTGACATCGGCTCATTGTTTGAATTGATTTCTATCACAAACAGTTTGAGTACAATATTCCTTACAAAATCGTTAGCTTGATCTTTATTGCTGACATCATCCTCATTGTTTGAATTGATTCTTATCACAAACGATTTGAGTACAATATCATTTACAAAATCGTTAGCTTGATCTTTATCTCTGACGTCTTCCTTATTGTTTGATTTCTATCACAAACAATTTGAGTACATTATCCTTTGCAAAATCGTTAGCTTGATCTTTAACGCTGACATCTTTCGTTGTTTGATTTGATTTCTATCAAAAACAATTTGAGTACAATATCCCTTACAAAATTGTTAGCTTGATCTTTATCGCTGCCTTCCTCGTTGTTTGATTTGATTTATATCACAAGCAATTTGAGTACATTGTCCTTATAAAATGATTAGCTTGATCTTATCACTATCATTTTTTTCATTGATTAGTTTATTTCACTATCGTTGTTACGAAATTCTTAGCTTGATCATATCGATGTCATTTGTCTCAATGATCAATTTAATATAGACAACTTGAGTATATCGTTGTTACAAAATGGTTAGCTTGATCTTATCGGTGTCATTTAGTCATCGATCAATTTGATCCCTGTCATAGACAACTTGAGTATATCATGATTACCAAATGATTAGCTTGATCTTATCGCTATCATCTTTCTCATTGATAACTTGATTTCTACCATAGAAAACTTGAGTACATCGTTGTTGAAAAATGGTTAGCTTGATTTTATCGCTAGCAGTTATTCCGATGTTCATTTCAATTTCTATAACAGACGACTTGATTATATCCTTGTTACAAAATAGTTTCTTGATTTCATTGCTCACATGTTTCAAATTGATCGATTTGTTTCTATCACGAACAATTTGAGTATATCGTTGTTACCAAATGGTCAGTTTGATTTTATCGTTGCCATTTTCTTGTACAATATGGCTACCATCATCTTAACAATCTGGATACGTCGTTGCTACCAAATGTGATTTCAATTTCTACTTCGAATTTGCTACCAAAGAGATATATAAAGGGGGGCAACTGTAGACACCACATTTTGTCCGGGATAACCGTTTTACTGGGAAAAAAACAATTGCCCTACAATTGTATTTGAAAAGAAAACTTGAAATGAATTGGTTGAGACTAGCAGTAGCAAGTCAATACGAACCAATGATTATCAATTTTGCTCTTTTTAATTCAAGGATCAACTCGGATATACATGATGATTAGGAGTTTAGTAAGCTTTGGGTTTGGATGTGGATATGAATTACAATATATCATAAAAAACATAAGGAAACGGAAGGTCATAAACAAATTCAAACCAAAAATCGTCAAACAAATTCAAACCAAAAATTGATGGTGGACCGAGCTGTTTCTCTTGACCGGCGATGAGAGAAGAGGATTGAGGTAGGATTAAGAGTCATGGTTTCGATTTAGAGAAAAACTAGAGGATTTCGGTTTTTGCAGAGGAAAACAAGAGGGAAAAGAGAGTGGCGGCGGGGTTTTATTGAGGTCGTCGTTTTCTTTGTGCAGAGAGAAGAGCAGAGGAAACATGAGAGAAGGATGAAGAGAGAGAGAGGGCAACCCTTTTGGTCGATTGAGATTAGAGTTGAGTAGGTTTTATTAGAGATGAATAAATACTTGGCATCGTAAAAAGCCCCTAGGATTTCTTAATATTTTTATGTCCCCGCCACAATGTTTTGGCTCATTTACGAAATTTCCCCCGCTTTGTCCCTGATTTAAAATGAAAATTTATCAAATTTTGAGCCTGGGTCGTTGATTATATACGCGTTTTTCTACTAGCAGTTTAGTCAGTGGGCTAGGCGGCCGTCATTCATTAACTCATCCTATCCACGTAATTTTATCATTGAATATCCTTAATACAAATTTTGAATACAGAAGAGTCCCTAAGTTAGGTTAATTTTGTTTCTTTCCTAATACGTGAAATATTTCTTCATGATTAAAATTCTTATATTTTATCTTCAGAAATCTCGCAATAATTTATTTAAATTTTATTAACAAAATGACTTATATGATAATCACGACTAGTGGAACGTGGGTATAACTAAAACACCAAAATTACTTTTATGAACTACGTTGATTTTGATCCCGTGTTACGAGTATGTAGGCAACCAATAAGGTTCGACTCCAATCTACTATCAAATTTTATCTATAAAATGAACACTATTGTGTGCATATTTCAAGTCGAAAACTAGTATGATATATTTTCAACTAGAGAAAATGGATATTCTCTTATAGCAGGAACGAAGAGAAGACAACTAATCACAAAATAAACCATCATCTTGATTGAGAATTGGGGAAAAAAAAGCCTTTTACTGAAACACCGTGCAAAACAAGTTTACATGAAGTGGGAGAGCGATAGGGACAAAGAATGAGGCACAGGGGAAGGTTTGGATGCTTAAGATGAGTCAGGGGAAGGAGCAGAATCTGGAGCAGGGGAAGGAGAGATGAGAAACCCAAACTTCTTGATGAGCTCGTCAGCAATCATCTGGTTGGCTCTATCCGACGGATGGTATTCATCCCAGAACACGTACTTGCTCCTGTCCTTGCACAGCGTTGACATCGGCGTACACGTTATCGCAGGCCTTATCCTCCCCATGGAACAACACGGCGAGTCTGCGTTGCTGAAGCCTGCAAACACCCACCCACGCCTCAACCGTCAAGAAAGTGAAACACCCCCCAAAAAATGAGATGGTGAAAACCAAATAATATAGTACCGTGTTTTTTGGGATTGGTGATCAAATCATTGACGACATCATAAGCATCCCCGAACTTGAAGCTGGCATTGGCGAGCTGGGCTGACAAGCCGGTGACCAGCTGGTCGGTAGCTTTGTTAAAGCTGAGAGCCAGCTTGTTGGTTCGATCTTGGCACCCTCCTGATGAGCTTAGCACCCTTTGGAGTGGGATGCAGCCCATTGGTCCTAATCCGAACACCATCAGCTGCCTCGCCCCCAAACTGTGCAACACCTGTACCAGGAACAAACAAATATTACATTACAGAGAGAGTGTTAGGAATTGTGTCTAGAGTCAAGATGGTTGTATTTGGTTGCTTGCCTTGAGTTGGGCACCCAGAGTTTCCATGAGGTAGTCGATGAAGGTTTGGTCGTTGTACTTCCAGGAATCGCTGTAAACGGGCATCAAGTAGTTGTTGATGAAGTCATTGCTTCCCAAGGCTACAACGTAGCGACCGTCTTGGAAGAACTTGTCCGCTTCCTCTTTCCCTATCTTGTCTGCAATCAGCTGCTGGGTCCCCTGGAACAGCTCAATCTGCCTGCTCAGTGAAATCCTCTGTATCTGAAGAAAACCACAACCAAACCAGAATTGCCCTGAAATTAAAACAGAGGAAATAGACAGAACAACCATTCATTGTGAATCAAGTTTCACTTACGAAGAGGCCACCGGTTTCGTTCAAGATGCCGCCGCCTCCAGACGCGAAATTCACGCCGTTGCTCAGTATTACATCCTCCGACAAGGACGAATCCAAGAACGGCGGCGGCCGCGGAAGCCCCGAGTGATCCCCTGCATGCCAAAGTAGAGCAAATTGCCATTAACATGAATGAAACGGGTCAGGATTTCACAGATGGGCTAACTAAATTACTGCTCGTTCGTTCGTTCGTTCGTACCGATAATGTCAGCAACGGTTCTGCCATTGGTGAATCTGCCGTTGGGGAGGCCATTGCCGAAGTCGATGCCGTACCATGGCAAGCTGGCCTGTGCCAGACTCTTGGGGAGGTTCATGTTGTTGCCAACATCAGAGAGAGAGTCGCCAAATATGAACTGGACAATCTTGCATTGGCAGCCATGGATTGGGAGGAGAACGAGTAACAGTAGGGTAATTAGGAGGGTGGTCTTCATTTCTGGCGTTTGCTCAATCGAACAGTTGGGACTTACTGGGAATATTTTCTTTCTTGTTTTGGGATGTCTCATGGGAGTTGCTCTTGAATTTAAAACCAAAAACGGAACAAGGGAGGCGGTAGAGCTGTTTGATGAACCAACTATGGTTGCCCAGTTCAAACCTACTACAACCACCATCCAGCAACCTGGTCTTCTTCCCTTCCCTTTCCCTTTTGCTATTCTTTGGCTCCCAACTTAATCTCATGCCGTATTTATCGATTTCCTTTGCTTTTTAAATTAAAGTTGAGCGTTGGGAATTGCTTTTTCTTATGTGTTGGTAAGCGAGAAATATACGCTCGAGTTGGCCCCTTAGCAAGTATTTGTGCACACGCCATTGTTATAGTATAGCATAATAGCACTTATGTCGTTGACAGACTCGAGAAAATGCTGCCCAAAGGTTTCATTTCTTTGTTGTGACTACCGATTACCCATTATTTAGCTACTTCTATTGTTCCAATAATCCTTCTCGGTCTGCCCGGATTTTTTCCCCAATATATTAAAAGTAGGGAGCTCCTAAGATAATTTGGATATAATTCAAGTAATCTAATTTGTATAAATCAAAACCGTTTTTAATATGTTAAATATATTCTTAATCATTGATTAAAAAATTGAAAAGAATAGGTACCAAACTCTATCTTACAAAACCACTACAAAACACAATCTACCACCATTCATCTAACTATCATCTGAGGCAGAATAATTCCAAAATAAAAAAAATGAGAAGAACATACTAGTAGTTCCACCATTTTCCTTCTTATTTTTTTCCTGACACTCTGACAGGAATCATGAGGAGAGAAAATGTACTTTTCCTAATCCCTATTTTTTTAATCGAATCCCACATCATTTGTTTTAACTCAGAAATTCAAAAAAGTGCATAGAAAGAACGTATTAATCATGATTTACACAATGATATCCATTTTGCTATGTTTTGAGGGGGAAAATTAACTTCCCAAAATATGTGTTGATTATAGTGTTATCACTATCATATCAATCATATCATAATGATATGATGACTCATCTCTTTCATTTCAACTCAAAATTTAAATCAAAATGTTTAAAAAGAACGTGTTCATTAAGATCTACACAGTGGTATGCATTTTGTTAAGTTTTGTCAATCATAATACCTCATACAAACATCATATTAGTGTCATTTCATGTTATCATAGTGATAATATAATTTTATGCAATGATATGATGTCATCAAATTATTTTGTCAAAGTTAAGACATCATACCAATATCATATCACTATCATATCAACAGCATATCAATATTATATCACTATCATATCAACATCATACCATTGATATCAAACTACTTTCAGGTAATAATGTGATATTAAAGTGCTAAGACTCATCTTCTTGAATTCAACTAAGAATTTTAAACATACTCTCTCCAAAGAATGCATTAATTATAGGGTAATGTCTGTTTTTTTTCAAATCTTTTTTAGATTCTTTTATATTATCAAAACCTTTTAAAATGCTTTTAATTAGCCAAATCTTTTGTAATGGATCAAAATATTAGTCATTATTATGTTAACGTTAATAATTTTGTAACCCTTTTCCTAGTTGAAATACTAAAATTTTGGAATGTTAACTTTCATGTGTCTCTTCCAAGTCAGTATCATGTTGCCAAGTCAATATTACTAACAAAATTGTTAACTGAAAGTTAACATTTGGCTACTTCTTAGTATTTCGATAAGTTTGGCTAATAAAAAAGAATCCAAAAAAGGTTTGGATAAAAATAGACATTACCCTTAATTATATGATACTATGATATGACACTTATATAAGACCTCAAAAATGGTATGATGTCATCAAATTGTTTTGACAAATATAAGACCTCATAAGTCATACCAACATCATATTACTGTAATATTAACATCATATCAACATTATATCACTATCATATCAACATCATACCATTGTGATATGACAGTGGTAAGATGTGTTTAAAAATTTTGGTCCAAAAAATATCAAAATGGATGTCATCTTGTAGAGTACAAAAAATCTGATTTTCAAATGCAAATTTTTTTGAAATCCAATGTAAAAAGATTGAGTTATAGTCTATTGAATTTTCTTGGGGATTGGAAAGTGCTTTAACTACACCTCTAAATCTGCACCCTTCTTCCCCAAAATCTAGGCAGCATGTAGATAATAGGGATAGCAAGCACTCTTTATTTCTCTCCCTATCACTCCTTAATATGGATCATTGAATCTTCCTTTATTAAATTACAACATTTTAATTAGATTGTACCATAAATCAAGCCCTCAAAAAGATATATAATATCGCCTATCGTGGCTGCTCATTCCCTGAATTTTTGTTTTCAAAGTGACCGTCCACTTTGATAGTTTTGTAACACCCTAACCCGATCGAGTACTACTATTATCGAAATGTCCTTGGTAAACCATCAACCAAAAACAAGAACTAAAAAGAGTAGGATAATTAGCGGGAAACTTTATTTAAACATCTATAATAAAAAAAATTGAAATTCAAATAACAATTTCTTAAAACTTGCATAAGTTGTAGTCATAAACATCTTCAATAAATGCGCCACAAGTCTAGAGTCCTATTAAATACACGAGGTTGGAACTTTGGGAGAAAAATTAACGAACTCCCGGTAGAAATTTAAGTATGTGAAAAAGAAGAAAAATGGTAGTATATGCGATTTGAATGTATAACATTATAGTTATTAGTAAACATCTTTTCTATTTTACTATACTTTATTTGTTGTGATTTTTTCATAAATGTCATCATAAACGTATAACTCTTATCCTCAATTTTTTCAAAGCCCAAACATGAACCCACGAACTATCCTTAATCCCCGTTGTATTATAATTTCTAACACAATTTTATTATCAAAAGTTTGTCATATTGCTGATTCTTTTCTTCTACATGATCTTGAAAATTGTTATCATTGTGTTCAAAATGAGAAGTTATTTTGTAGATTAAGTTAGTTGAGTTGATCATGGAGAAGAAATTGAATCTATCATATTCATGGGTATATTTGCTTCTCAAAGTTGTATTGGTTTTACTAGTTGCAATTCCAAGTGTCGAGAGAGATTTTTCAACTTTGGATTACATCAAGAATAAGGTTCGGAATTGAATAAGCGATCAATTCGCGAATGATTTTCCAGTATGATATATTGAAAATGATTTTATGAGCAATATAGATAGTGAGTAACACGTCGTAAACTTTTTGTCAAGAAATGAAAAACCGTACCATACTGGCGGTTCAACCTGAAAAATCTCCTTCTGGAGGCTAAACTCGTAGGCGGTATTTAGCACTATGAAAAGATTTCATCATAAAATATCCTACTGGACCTCCGGTACGTTTTTAGAATCCTTGCTTTTTGTTGTAACTTGTACTAGTCAGATATTTTCTTATTTAAGTAAGTTTAATAAACTTCAAATATTAATTTAATTTAATTTTTGAAAGGGACACCCCTATACAAAATTTCTAGGTCCACCACTGCCTATAGGGCCATTGATTCTTGTCACGAATTGCTGAACTTCTAAGCATACTTCGGTGCTTCCATAATTCTTCAAGGCAGGCGATGGGGTTAGTCTTAATTCTAATTTCGTTAACAACCATTAACACACAACTATGCACATGCAAAGCCTTGGTATGTTATTGGATATGTTATTCGAAAGAGTAGGTTAAATTTTTTATCATGAATGTGCCCCGCCCCTCACTTAGAAAGCGCAACCGTCCTACCACCAGAATGTGATAATCGTGATAAGCTTGATAAGTACTAGGAGCCTGATAAGCTTGATAACTTGATAAATACTTCCTCAAACATGGGAAGAAAGGTGGTCGTGTATGTAGCTAGCTAAGCAATGCTCTTACGTGTTCTTACTTATTCGTACTTATTAACTTCATAGTTCTTACGCTTGCTTATCTTGATCTCTCACTCATGATTAATTCTTCATATGTACTTGCAAACTTGAAAAGCTTGGTGATCTCCCACACAATTGGAAGACCCAACTTATTAACTTGCACAAGTCTAGCTTAGATTTGAAATCCTTGAAACTTAGTTTACAGATGCTTAGTGATGTTATGCAAACTTAGATTAACATGGAAGCGTATAAGGAATAACTAAAACATAAGGGTTGAACTGAATGGATACCTTAAATGCATATATATTGGTAATAAAATTACTCTAACCCTCATTAACCATGCCCCTTAATGCTCGAATTGATTTGTTTGACTTCCCTTCAGTTCCTTGCTCGAGGTGTACCCGATTGCGTCTACTACGTCAAATTGCATTAGTTATAATGGATCCTTAGTAAAGCTTATGTGACCAGTAATCCCCACAAACTGGTTTACTTAATCCTTAACACTTGGTTTCTTATTTAAATCTCCACTCTATTAGCAAATGGTATATGATCCACGATTGAACATCTTCCAACAACTTGAGTTATTGGGACCAACTAGTTGTTGACATGGTATCAGAGCCTTCTGTGACCGAGAGGTCTTCTGTTCGAATCCCGAAAATCCCCATATATTTCTGTTAAGCATATGGTATCCGGACCTATGCAAACTTCAAGCCCATATATGGTGGCTTTTGTTTGAGGGGGTGTATGACTCGTACCGAATATCACAATAAAACTCCCAAGTAAGGCCCAAGTATAACCTTAATTTGGTGCAACATAGGGCAAGTATGTTTAAATATCAACTCGGGCCGGTCCATGTACCCCTGCTTTGATTGTTTGAAACATTATCTAGCGATTGGTTGTTTGATTGAAAACTACGATCTACTATTAAAGCAGTTGCAAAAATAATTGTTTTTGACTCTTAAATGAGAAGGATTCACCCGGGTGTAGCTCCCCCTAACTCGCTACCATGACTTGTCGGAATGACTAAAAATGTATGGTGGAGGTGATTGAGAACCGTAAGCGAAGTGTAGCTAGTGATGGAACAACACTCTCTCGGTCCCGAGGCCAAAGAATTCAGATTAACCTAGCAAGGAAG